CCAGTGCTTACATTTTTAGGAATGTATCCTAGAAATACACTCAGAAATCAGACCGTCAGATAACGTAATGGTTACGTCACTGGACACCTATGTAGTTGACCACGGTTCGAGTCCCAGATCTGGCAGCTTAAAACTCACACTGGGTTTGTGCGTGTGCATACATGCCCAAGATCCCAAGAGGAGAATGGAAGAGAAGGGATTGGGACATGGCCATACCCCCGGGGGGTGATTTCTCACTTTCTGTCTCTCTGTGTCTCTGGCGAGTGCATGCACTCCATAGCAGAATTCTTTCTTTAAAAAAATATATACATATACTCAGAAATGTTTTGCTCCAATTTTTCTTTCTTTACTCTTTTATTTCTTAAATAATGTTTGCATATTAAAATCTCAGTCTTCAGGAATGTGTGTCTAACTGCTATACTCTTAGCACCGCCAGTGCCTGACATACAGGTAGTAAAAAAGTATCTAGTTTAAAGGAGGAGGGGTATATTCATGTGAGGAATATGATGTAACTATGTCTTTGAAACATTACATATTGAAAGATGTAAAAAATGCTTACAATATAAAGCTAAAAATGTAGAGTACATGATTATGTAAAGAACATTCTGTGTCTCTGTGTGTGTGTGTATACACGTGCTGTGGATGGTAGGATTAAAGGTGATTTGTTCTATTTTCTTGGTACTTTTCCTTAGTCATTCAGGATGTGTCTATTGAAATCTTTGGTAAGCACCAAGTATGTTTCTAAAGAGCAAGACCACATAGTCCAACCTCATAATTTCTTTCTTTCTTTCTTTCTTTCTTTCTTTCTTTCTTTCTTTCTTTCTTTCTTTCTTTCTTTCTTTCTTTCTTTTTCTTTCTCTTTTCTTTTTTAAGAATTATTTCCTTTGGGGCTGGCAGGTGGTATCTTGATTAGGGGCACTGGATTCCCACATGGCCAGCTGCAGTTCGAGTCCCAGACCTGGTGGCTTGCTTTCTCACTTTCTCTCTCTTTCACTCTGTCCCTCTCTGGTCAAATAGAAATGAGCAAATGAATAAATAAATAAAGTTAAGTAAAATAATTCTTAAAAAAAAAAAGAATTATTTTCTTTATTTATCATTATTGCCACTTTTAATTTGACCAGAGTGAGACACACAAAGAGAGCGAGCGAGAAAGCAACCCACCGAATCCAGGACTTGAACCACAGTCAGCCATGTGAGAGTCCAGCGCCTTTAACCTCCACACTACCTGCCAGCCACCAACCTCATGGTCTCTAATAGCATAGAAAAGTAGACATTCAACAAGGAATTACAAGTGTATCATTTACTTTAGTGAGCTTATATTGCTTTTATGTTCTAGAGAGAAAAACTGATGATGGTGATCGGGTGATTGAAGTTTATAAGACACTGTTTTAGGCCAAGAAAGGAGTAATTACGTGAAAGTTCAGACTTCATGTGATATAACTTTTCCCATCAAAGGAAAAATGTTTAGTTTCTTGTGTGTTGAATGGTTAGTGATGGCCTGCTACTAAATACCCTCAGACCTTTTTCCTAAAGAGCATTTTCTTTTCTTTTTTAAAAGATTTTTGCTATAGGGTGTGTGTGCTTGCTGGAGAGACAGAGACAGAGAGACAGAAAGCGAGAAATTACCCCCCAGGGTGGTGGCTACACTACAATCCTTTCTTCATTCTTCTCTCAGGATTTTGGACACACACACACATTTGCCCAGCATGAGTTTCAAGCCACTGGGTCTGGGACTCGAACCATGGTCAACTATGTGGGAGTCTAGCAATGTAACCATTACACCATCTGCTAGTCACCTAAAGAGCGTTTTCTAAGGGACACTGAGTGAGACAGTATCTTGGTGAGATGGTGGTAAGAGTTATGGGAAACCCCCACGTTCTTTAAGCATAATTAAACATTTGAGCTGACCAGCATTAAAATATAGGAAAAAATATTTTTTTTTGTTCAGCGACTTGTAAAGTTTCAAGTGTGTGGAAAACCAAAAACAGCAACAACAAAACCACCCTGTAGGTTAACTGTGACCCTCAGAGCTCTTTTGTAACCAGGATCAGGGATGGAAAATTGTATCCTAAGCCACAGCTTTGTTTCATGTTGAAGAAATTCCAGAGTAGATCGGAGGGTTTCAGAGCTATGTTTGGGGGACGCCCCCTGCTTGATGGCTGGGACTGTGCTCCCAAGACATCGGGCCCTCACGTCCACAGTCTTATCCCTCCATCAGCGGGGCCTTCCTGCACAGTCACGCCAGCGCCCTGGCCTTTATCTGTTTCCGGAGCAGAAAACGTCTCTGCATCTGGCTGAGTTACAGGGTGGGGCTGCGACCTCCAGGGAAGACAGTTGTGAGCTGTGCGTTGCATTGGTGGGAGCCCTTGCCCTCGTTTCTGCCCATCCGCAGGTTAGGAGCGTGCGTTCTAAGCCCGGGGTGCAGGAAGGAGTAACACGCAGCAAAGCGATGGCACCGCCTCCCACCGTGGGCGCACTGTGTATTGCTGTCTCCAGACCTTCGCAGACTGATTCGAGGGACTGCCCCCAGTGAGAGCTCACCCTCTGCTGCTTTTTAACCCGACTGACGGTTACGTTGGCAGTAACGTGTTCAAAACCGACCTAGCACTTTCTTCCCTTTGGAAATTTGGATCTTAGGAACATGACGTGAACTGTGGGTCTGTTGACCACTGTTTTCCATCAGTGCTGTTTCCCTCTCGCGTTCGGAATCCACTTTCACTTGAGAGGCGTCTCCTGCTTCACGTTTCCAGGTGGAATTACAGTGCTCCCGCTCTCCTCCGTTGGTCTCAGCACCTCCTCCTCCCTGGCATTTGCAGTGTTCCGAGAGGTCTTCACCTCTCAGCTCTCCTTCATCTCGTGGTTTCTCTCCTCTGTGCTTCTCACCCCATCTTTCATCCCCCAGTGTCGTTATGTGGCTTGTCGACGAGGGCCCTGTTGCCTTGCCTGGTCACATCGAGCGTTGCCGATGTTCTGCTTCTAGCTGTCTCGAACCTTGATCTGGTAATGGGTTTTTACACTCTAAAGCAAGGATCCTCGGACCCTCTGGCCTCACCGGTGATGCACTTCTTTCCAGTAGGAGTTGCCACTCCTCTGTCTGGTGTGTGTTTTCAGAGAGCAGTCTTCCACTTTTCCACAGGGAAGCTGGCCCACCAAGGGCAGGGTCACCTTCTCACTGCTTTCTGGTTGGCTGAGTTGTCAGAGGTAACTCTTGTGGTGCCTGTTTATTAATGGAAGAGAGAAGATGGCAGACACAGTTAAATGATCACTGAGACCAAGGTTTCTCAAACACCGCTTCCACCTTCTGCCTGTGAAAATTACGACTGTGCTTGACAAAGTCACTGCCCAGGACGGGGCCCGGATCTCGGACTGTTTATGCAAGTTCATTATTGTTTTGATTGCGACTTTCCTGGGGGAAGTCACTGTAAACAGTTCAGTTCTCAGAAGCAGCACTCCAGGAATAAACATAAACGCAGAATGTTACCGCACCGAAGTCAGCCCTGCAGTCCCCGAACAGGGCTGCACGGAAAGTGAGGCGGGTGAGCGGAGGGGAGAAGTCAGGACGCGCAGGGCCTCCCGGTCTCAGCTCTTCACAGGCCGTCCTCGCTGCAGGCGAGGAAGTGGCTTGACACACACAGTTAGCTGAGGAAGGGCAGCGCCGCCTGCGCGTGGCCGTGCAGGCTGCACCGCGAAGGCCGTGGCGGTGCTGGACATGCGATGCCTCTGGGCTCTCTGGGAGAAGCTCGGGTACAAGGTGTCTGTATCCCGAGTGTGCAGGAGCTGTGATCCATCCTCAGAGGCGGACGCCACCAGTCTCAGCTGGGCAACACTCTGGTCAAGCCAGAGTTTTCTTCATTGAGGAAATCTTGTCTGTGGGGAGGGACAGGGTTATTTCTCCCATACACCAGAGCAGCTGGCCGCAGAGCTGTGCTAGTTTGAGCACAAGTCCCAAGGACGGAATTGGCGGAGCCCGGGACTAGGGGAAGCAGAGCTCAGCACATCAAGTCTGGGAGGCAATGCATTTTCAACACTGTGTTGCAGTGTAGAGCCCAGCATGAGGCAGGTATAAAGAATCCTTCCAGAAATGGGAACCAGCAGATGGCACAATGGTTATGTCGCTGGACTCCCACTAGCAGTCGACTGCAGTTTGAGTCCTGGACCCAGTGGCTTCAAGCTCACACTGGGCATGTGTGCCCAAAATCCCAAGAGGAGAGTGGAGAAGGGATTAAGGGAGGAAAAGGGGTGGCATGGCCATCACCCGGGGGGTGATTTCTTGGTTTTTATCTCTCTGTCTCTGTCTGGCGAGTACACGTGTCCTATCGCAAAAATCTCTCTAATAAAAAAAATAATAATTGGGGACCAGTAGTTGGCTTAATGGCTACGTCACTGGACTCCCATATAGTCAATCACAGTTTGAGTCCCGGACCTGGTAGCTTAAACTTGGTCCAGGTGCATGCGTGTGCATGCCCAAGATCCTGAGAGAAGAATGGAGGAGAGGGGATTGTGGCTTGGCCATCCCCCGGGGGGCAGTGTGTGTGTGATTTCTCGCTTTCTGTCTCCCTGTCTCTCTCTGTCTTTCTGGCAAGTGCACATACCCTGTAGAAAAAAACTCTCCAAAAAAAAAAAATAATTAAAAAGAAATTACTTACAGAAATTACTTCCCATTTTTTCATAGACTGGAGTGGGTTCTGCATTTCGGATATTAATTGCAATAACTAACATTTGCATGCACTTACCACGTGTGGGAAAATGGCTTCACACAACCGTGTATCAAACGAGGCTGTCAGCAGCCCTGTGTGACAGATTCTGTCATTCTCCTGGCTATACAAGGTACAGAGAGGTGAAGTAACTTGCCCAAGGCCCAACAGCTACCTAGTGGCAGAGCCAATACACGAACGCCCGAAGTCTGGCCGAAGAGTAGAGGTTTCCATCACCACCACTATCAGGTTCTGTTGCCTCCTGGGCACACACAGAGACTCAGTGCGGTAAACGCTGTCTTCCAGGAAGAGAATGGGGACTGCACGTATGTGGAAA